AGATTTTCAAAAGACTGTATTACTAGGAATAATAGGGTGAAATTAAGTTGATTTATTGGGGAAAACCCCACTCTAATGGTGAGATCTATATAAATCCTGAATAGCTGTCCAACGGAAGTGAACCTATTCCTGATTACAAGAGATGAAATTACAAATGGTTATTAAGTACATATATTGAGGACCAATCCTGCATGGTCTGGAATGCAGAACACTGGACATGATAAAGGTATATCTAATTTCTATGATTTTAAGATACTCAATATATTGCCTATGGGATTATTCGTCATATATAGTTAGATATCAGTTTGGTTGTGCACCCTGACTTAAGGAAATCAGAACCTACATTTATACACTATTTGTTTGGTAGCTTCAGTATCTGTTTAGTCTTAAAATAGTCTAATTAAGTTTTGTTGAAAAGTCAGTGCTAAAAATGGCTATTACCTTGATATTACCTACAAAATCCATTTTTACAGGAGCAAAGACTGTTGGTCCAAGTTTGTCTAGAAAAAAGAAGGCAACATTTTTAAAGCAGTTTCTTAGTACTAATGACTCAACAATATCCATTTCCCCTGGTACCAAAAAAGCTTTTCTGAATAGATAAAAGGAGAAACAGAAAGATGGAAGTCTTTCTTCCTCTGTTTTAGAGCCAAAAATTCCAGTCTGTACACGAGCCAAAGACAACAAAATAATATGACCTCACTCTTATAGCAAGTTTTATCCATAGAGCTCAAAGTATTTTATAAAGGAAATCAGTGTCCTCATCCTCAAATAGGATTAAAAAACTGAATGATCTTAGAGAGCCTCCGCCACAACTCTTATTAGGCAGCAAATCAAAAAGGATCTGTGGCATACCTGAGAGACACACTGATTGTAGTGAAAGTAACCAACCACTTACCCAAGACTGGCACTATTGCGTAACACGATTGCAGAAATTCCTCTGTGGGTATGCCCTCATTCTCCTGGAGTTCAATATCACTGAACCTGCAGATTCCAGTATGAACACAAAGAAAATGTTAAATACTCCTGTCATGCATCTTACCCATAAATAAGGGCAGAAGGGTTTGGTTTTTTTGGAACGAAGTCTATATGCAATCCATATTTCACAAGAACCACATACTGAGTTTTGTTCTGTAACGGATATGAATGTTGGAAAGGAAATCACAAATTTTTCATACAAAGACAAGATGCACCTTTTTTGTTTACACAGAAATAGAAAAGCTAGAATTCAGCTCTCCAATTTAAATGCTTTCACCGACAAGGGCAAAATTTACATTATGCCTGTATGGTGAGGATGGAAGGATGGGCTTATGGATAACACACTGAACTGCAGAGAGACTGATACCATGCCAGAAACTGAACCCATGTTTCCTGTGTGCTTAGTCAAGTGCTTTTGTTTCTCTATTCTCCACCTGTAAAATGGAAAAAATAATCCTTCTTGGTGTACCTTGGCTATTTCGACTACAACAGGGATGGGAATATATGGCCAGTGGGCTGGATCTGGCCCCCAAGGCTCCTGCACCCTCCCTGCCACCCAGACTCCACACCCCAAGCCCATTTCTTGGAAGCCCCTTCTTACACACTGAACTCCTCATTTTTTACCCTACCCTCGAGCCTGAGGGGGCCCCACAAATTCTACTAGCCCAGGTGCCCTTAGGCTCTGGTGTGCATTGGGAATGTGGAGGTATGTCTTTGCTTCTCAGTCAGGGGCCACGTCAATAACTTTGTTTTTGGTGCTTCTCACATTTGCCCTGACTGATTTTTCTGTGGGTTAGTGGCTATGGCCCAAAAAAGGTTCTTCACCTGTGGCCTACGAGCTCTTATCACTACATGCAGGTCATATGCCTAGTGCAATGGGGCCTGATTTCAGATTCTGAATTTGGAATGGTGAAGAGATAATCATCATTTCAGCATGTTCTTATACTTCTTATGCATTACAGTACTATTTTACATGACTGACTCTTTTGTACAGTTTCAGTGGAGAGCCTTTTTACATCAGTGTCACTGGTGACTTCCAACCAGTGATTTTTGACAGTACATAAACGGGTTCATAAGGAATAATAATTTTCAACACAGAAGTACTATGGGCAATTTAGCAGAGACAGATAATTACTCTAAATAATTTTCCAGCTAATGATTAACTGACCAGCAATCATATTTTCATAATTTTCTCCCAGTTACTCTTGCAAAGAATCAACTATTTCTATCCTATGGATGGTGGGAGTGAATTAGGGAGCAGGGAGAATTAAAAAAAAAAAACACAAAAATCACACACAGTACAGTAAAAACTGTGTTATCTGGAAAGCTCTATAAAGCAGCCTTTCAGACCTTCATAGAAAAGTCCAATCAACAGTCTGGTTGGTGCAGGGCCCGCATGTCCTACCTGGCTCTGAACAGCTCCCCCAAAAGCAACGACATGTGCCTGCTGCTCCTAGGTGGAGGAACAGCCACAAGGGATATGCAGAGCAAGAGGGAGACTAGAGTAGGGACGTTAGCTATTGCATAATTGAAAAGTTGTGTAACTGCATGAAATCTTGGTGGTTACATGAGAATTCAATCGTCCATGGGGGTGGGGCCAGCAGTCAATGTGCTCCCGGTCCCACTCTTGGAGAGCCCCCTACCACCCTGCACTACTGCCTCTGTATGAGAGGCAGCAGCGTTGAGTGGCAGACGGGAGCTGGTCTGCCAAGAAAGCCAGTTTAAAAACCTGCTTCAGGTGCAGACCAGCTGCTTGCTGCCCCATGCTGCTCTGTGCAGGGTGGCAGCAGCCTCTGTCCACGGGGGTCTGAGCTCCCCATGGACAGAGGGTGGTCCATGGGGAGCTTGGATGCGCCCATGGACAGAGGTCCATGGGGAGCTCGGAACCCAAGACGGGAGCTGGTCTGCCAAGAAAGCCAGTTTAAAAACCTGCTTCAGGTGCAGACCAGCTGCTTGCTGCCCCATGCTGCTCTGTGCAGGGTGGCAGCAGCCTCTGTCCACGGGGGTCTGAGCTCCCCATGGACAGAGGGTGGTCCATGGGGAGCTTGGATGCGCCCATGGACAGAGGTCCATGGGGAGCTCGGAACCCA